GCGGCTGTGTGGGAGGCGGGGCCTCGGAGAGGAAGGCGGGCCGCGGAGGAGACGCATGGGCGTGGGCTTCTCGGGCTCTGTCCCCCTCTAGTGCTTTCTCCCCAGCTCTGCCCCTCTCTGTAGGGGCTCTCCCTGCCCCGGGAAGGTGAGTGCCTCAGTTTCCTCCTCGTGTGCAGGGCCTACCTCAGGCTGGACAGGCGCCTGCCGGCGGGAGAGCTTGGAAGCGGGCGCCTCCAATGGATGCCCGTTTCCGGCCCCCAGGCTGCGGTCCTCACCGGACCCTCTCGCCTTCCTCTGCTCTCTTCTCCAGTTTTTAGTCCCTGGGTTACCTCAGCTCAAGATTCCTGCTCTCCTGCCTTAGAGCCCTGGGCACTAGGATACACTTCTTTCTCTCCTTTAATTAATTGTGTTAATCCTCACCCGAGGATGTTTTTTCCATTGATTTTTAGAGAGAGTGGAAGGGAGGGAGGGGGGAGAGAGAGAGAGAAACCGTGGCTGGCTGCCTGGCCCCCACACCCCCCCCCCCCCAACACCACACCCCCCCCCCCAACACACACACTGGGGCTGGGAACCTGCACCCCAGGTACGTGCCCTCCACGGGGAATCCAACCTGAGACCCTTTGGTGCGAGAACCGACACTCTCACCAGGGCGCCCCACCGGCCAGGGCTGGGATGCATTTCTTAATCTAATTACTGGGTAAACCAGATTGTCCCTTTACCAGCCCTTAGGAGCATCGGGTCGGAAAAAAGAAAACACATGTAAAAGAAGAAGGAACACACACACACACACACACACACACACACACAAACAAAAACGAAAAAAAAAAGAAGGTCGTAGGGTCAGGGAAGTGCACTGGGCATCTTTGCAGAGAGACACGGAGAGACGTTTCCCAGCGGGACACGGGTACCAGTGAAGGCGGTGCAGGTGCTGAGCTCATGCCTGAGGGTCTTTGAGAACTTGAGCAAAGGTTCCCTCATACTTCATTTTGTAACATTCGGGCCTTGACCGTAAAAGTTCTGGTTGCCGGTGGAGCCGAAGTTATCAAAGAATCTCCCTGGGCCCTAACCGGTTTGGCTCAGTGGATAGAGCGTCGGCCTACGGACTCAAGGGTCCCAGGTTCGATTCCGGTCAAGGGCATGTACCTTGGTTGTGGGAACATCCCCAGTAGG